GTCTGTTTTGTATGTTTGTTTGTTTCCTTCTTTGTAGGACTTTGTAGAAAATCAATAAAAATCTATTTTAAAAAAAGAAGATTCTGACCATTATCTCTCATTTTGGTTTGGAGGAGAGTCCAAAAACCTGCCTTAGTGTCGGCATGTGCAAAGGGAATGCCGTGCAAGATGACAGCTGGTCAGAGTGATCAGGAAGATCTAACTGACTGCCTGGAGTCACATGATGGACTGATTGCATCAGTTTGCAAGAGATGTCATAATGACTCAGCATCTCTAATGTGATTGGCTATGTGGACTGTACCATATGTATATAGTCTGAACCAATGTTCTCTCTAAGCTGTGGAATCTTGTGAGCAAAAATTCTACTTTGTGAGCTACTGGCATTAAAGTCGTGAGTGAGCGATTTGGCTGCTGCATAAATTAGTTTGTTCTGGAGCCATCCTTCCTGAGCTAAGACAAAAATGTGTGAGCCGGAGGCTAAAAAACTGTGAACTAGCTCACACTAACTCAGCTTAGAGGGAACACTGGTCTGAACTGTCCTTACTAGAGTGTTGCCAGTGTGGTAACGGTTGCCTGGCGGAGCACTTTGTTGGTTTGAACACCGAATGCTTTGCTGTGTAGGACTGTGTGTAAATATTGTAAATAAACTAAATATCTCTGCACCAAGCTGGTGTGAGCAGGACATCTTTATTCGCACCACCATCAATCACCTGTGTTGACAGATGCTACATCTGTGACCAGGGATACATGCACAAAGATAGGTCTAGCTACTTTGGATCCAACTGTATTGCTGCAGGCATTCTCAACTGCAGCCAGTACCCTATTACACCCTGGCTACAGAGTTCACGAATGGGACAAGCACTGTCTCCAGCTCATTTTCTCACAAATATTGTCAAATTTTAAGTGCTGAGGAAGAGGAGTTAGCTATGACATGGGTATCCAGCAATCATCCATCTGTAATGCCAACTATAATAAACTTCAGAGCTAAGAGGGAACCATTCAAGAAATACATGTTTGCTAATGATGTTTTAAAGAGAGTCACACCAGTGAACTGGTGGAAGTCACTTAAGCACTTGGTTTAGAGACTATTGAAGTAATGATTTCACTTTTAACAGCAGTAGCTTCTTCTGCTGGTGTAGAAAGACTATTCTTTTCCTTTGAACTCATTCATTCCAAACTAAGAAATCATTTGGGACCCAATAAAGCAGAAATGCTGGTTTTTCTTTTCCAGATTATGAAGAAGAAGAGAAGAGATTGGGTATATCCTGCCCTTCACTACACCAAACTGAACAAACAAAATGAAGATGATTAAGCTACAGAGGAATGTATTTTAAGTTTTTCATGTGTGGACTGAGTTGATAGTCTAAGTTTGTTTGTTTTTTTAAAAAAAGGTATTTTGTTTAACTACATCAGTTAACAAACTTGGATGTTTAAGCAAATACAGGAATACATATGCTATAATATTGTTTTAGTTAAATAAAACTATTTAAATTGTTATTATTAAGGTAATGACTATTTTTCTCCTTCCGATAAAGTACAGCAGAAAAGTTGTCCAAATATGAATGATTAACCTATTAAAATGGAGACAGTTCACCTTGCAATAATTTTATAATTATCTATCTGATGTGTTTCTAATAGTATAACCAAATCAGTACTTTTTTTGATATAACTGTAAAACTCATTTGAAAAGTTGCTATTCTAAAAATGAAACCTTCATCTGGTTGTAAATATTAAGATTATACCAGCAAGAATGAGTCTTTATGTAGAAAACTATTATTTAAATCTAGTCTTACTGACCAGTGATTTAAATAATGATTTAAATCTATTTGATTTAAATCAAATCCACCCTGATCTTCAATGTTTTAAAGAGGCTATCACTGTCATTTTCTACAATGCACTGCAGAAATTCCTTGCGAGCATTTGGAGCCAAGGACTGTGTCCTTGTGTGCTACACAAGAGGAAAAAACCCCAGAGGCTAACTTACTCACAACGACTCTTGCAGGAAATGAGTATGCATTCAAAGTCAGTTTCTTTGCATCTCCCTAAGTGCTGAGGAGGAGACCACCAATTTTGTCCATTTTCATTGGCCTTGCATATTGCTTTTCCCACAGAAGAAATGTGTGATGTCTCAACAGGTGATAAGCTTGACAAACAAAGTGCTTTAGTGCTTTCAATATGATAGGATTGTTCAATGTTTTTTACTTGTCTCAGTCCTATAAACAGTCCCATATTCTTTTGCAATGGGGGCACCTGAATAATCTTTGAAAATAATTTTACTGTGTCAGGAAACCTGAAACATGTTCTGCATCAAATATAGCATTGGCCTTTTCAATGAAAATGTTCAAAGGTGTTCTCTAATTTGGAAGCTGATTTCATAATACCCTTCTGACCTCACACTCCACCACCAGACATAGTTGGCTTGGCAGCATTGCTTTCAGCATCTCCAACAACACTGTGAATGCCCCATTTTTTCCTGATTATTGGCGGATGAAGAGGCATATGAGAGTATTCCTCGTGCAGCAAACAATAGAGGTTCATCAGCAGGTGCAGATGAAAGTGTTGCCATGAATGAAGTGCCAGCAAGTGGTGCATGAGCTGTATGAGCTAGCAAAGGTGGTATAGGTGGTGATGCATTCTTGGATGGTACAAGCCAGTGTTTTGTAAAGAAACAATGGACAGTAAAATATAAAGATGTAAAAAATGTTTGTGCAGTCTGAGCACTGTCAATAAGAAAAGTTTTTAATTGCCTTCTAACTCTGTCTCCTTCCATTCTATAAAGTACCTGATTTCTAAAAGGCTCTCCACCAGTTCTGGAAGATTTATTCCCAAACGTTTTATCATTTAAGATAAAAAGTACATAAGGTTAGAGACTCTCCAAGATCATCTAGTCCAAGTTACTCACTGCCAAGGCAGGCAGTCCTTGGCATGGTTTTTGTGGTGCTGCCAATAGACAAAATCTACAATATGATGATGGTGGTTTTATTTTGTTTCAATGTAAATATATGAATTCATGAGGATCTGTTTAAAATAATCTAGATCCGACTTTTACACAGGCCCACAGCAACTTATATAATAACCATGACTAATACCTAGCATGTTAAGTAGCAGGACTGCATGAGACTAGGGTTGCCAATCTCCAGGTGGAGCAGGAATTCTCCGAATCTTTTTTTTAAAACGGTATTTTAAAAATTTTAATTACCCCTAAGCGAAGCATTAGCATGAGTGACAGATCTGAAAGCAGAACTGATACAAAGCGATATAGATATTATTTACTGAACCTACCCAGATTTCATTAAGAAAAATAAACTGCTTGGTGAAGTTTTTGTAAAGTTCTCCAAGAGACAGAGATATATAATCCTAAAAGCTACTAATGGGATAACTCTGAAAATCCAAGGTGAAGAAACTTGACTATTAAAAGATATTCCATTTGAAATGCGAAAGCGGAAGAGACAATATAAAAATCTAACTTATTTTTTACACAAACAATCCATTCCCTACAGGTGGATATTTCCAGAAGGACTTATCTTCAACTACAAAGATAAGAAAGAGAAGACTGACTCTGTCCAAAAAGCAAAGATATTTTTGGAGAAACATCAAACAACAGCTAAAGGGAAAACAGAGGGCAGTAAACTGCAGAAGAAAGTGAACATGAATCAGGAGACAGTGGAAGTACAACTGGCAAATCCTCAGAACTAATGCTGAAAAAGGAATAGCGGCTCTGAAACTCCTCAAAGTTAGACTGACCTATGATAAAAGCAAACACAAATAAGAAATAAGCAAACTATATGTAGATTAACTCTGAAAGCCTTTTACTTGCTTGCTATGTATGAAACTGGGATACACCTATTTTGGTTAAACATGCTTGCTTTAGTTTGATTCTATATTAATTTTAAACAGTTATATTCCTCTTATATTTTATTTTAATTTGAGGTGGGGAAACACAATAATCTTTTTATATATATTACGTAATATGATCCTTGCTTTAGCTTTTGTATTTTAGTTCTAGCTCCCTTTCCCCCTTCCTTGTAGTTTTTGTAGTGGAAAAGCAATAAGTAAAAATAATAATAATTAATTACCCACAACAGAAAGAAAGAAATACAAGGAAATCCGGCCTCTCCTCAAACTCTCCAAGCACTATGCAAAATCTCCAATAATTTTTCACATCAGAGCTTGCAGCCCAATACGAGGCCTCCAGATGCAGAAATTCCTGGCCTGTCAGTTTCTCTCAGACATCCCTGTTTTTCCCCTTCCCTTTGTCCTGTTCTCTTCCAAGGCAAAAGGCAGCTAACTTTGTAGGAGTTGCTTATGATGACTAGGCTTCTTGGGCAAGAAACGCGCGCGCCCTGCATAGCTAGTAAAAACCGAGTTCTTAGGACTGCCAATCAGAGCAGAAATGCACTTCGTCTTCACTACAGTTAAAGCTTTTTCGTGAAAGCCTTTTTCTGCTTGTCCTTGTTTAGCGGCGCTAACCCTACTTCGTAAAGCAATAACGAAAGCGTGGGTGTCCGCCTTCTCCTCTCTCCCTTTACCTCATACCTATACCCGTCCATTCCAGCATCATGCATATCCTTGTCTCACACTTTCCTTTTAATTACTAATACAAGTTGCGCCTTGAGGCTGTCTCCCCCCCCCCGCACCCGCAGGCGCTCTTACGGCAGGGCTCCTTCCCGCGTCAGTTCGCATCTGAGATTCGTCTCTCGGCTGTTAGAGTCTAGCTTCCCCTTCCGTGAAGAACTGTTCTGAAGGAGCTGTGGATTCGGCGCTTGGCTGATGCTGCCTGCCAAGAATGGAGGGCAAGCAGGCGCACACAGTCGAGCACCACCTCCCCGATCGGGGGCTTGGTTTTCCCCTCGCCTTTCCCCAGTTGCTATGGTAACAATGAGAAGCTGATTGCGGCCGAGGTTAGGGGTTGGGCCTCAGGGGATTTGGGGCATTAGCTGGAAAGAGAAATTAGTTGTAAGGACTGAGGAAGAGGAAGCTGGGCTAGGGGGAAAGGCTTGGAAGGGCTAGACAGCGCTAGCATGCTATGGATGAGGCGGGGCGTTTGGCACAGAAGTGAGTGGCAGTGGGGAAAAGGAGGGTATTAGGAAGGGCTCAGAGTGAATGGAGGGTGGCGGAGGAGTAGCTGTGCATGAGGAAGTGGGTTGCAGGGGTTTATGAGACCCTTTCAGTTCATCTGAAAAAAGTTTCCTGTAGTCCGCAAATTGCCATAACAAGTCTTGAAGGTTCCACAATACTTGAGTGTAAGGTTATCAATCTCCAGGTGGCACCTGGATGTCTCCTGCTATTACAGTTTACCTCCAGACAGCCAAGATCTATGTCCCAAGAGAAAATGGGTGCTTTGGAGGGTGAACTCTTCTGACATTATACCCTGTCGAGATCCCGCCCCTCCCCATACCCCACCCACAAAACCTCCAGGTATTTCCCAATCGGGAGCTGACAAGCCTACTTGAGTTTGTTTGCTGTGATGGGTCTACCCTATGGAGTTATTATTTATTGAATTTGTTAATTGCCCTATCCCAGCTTACTCCAGGCTCTGGGCGATGTACATAATGGCATAGTGCAATAAAAACATAAAAAACAATAAAATTCCACTAAACAATTTAATAAAGCTAAAGACCCAAATAGAGTCTATGATGATGGAGTCTGAAAATTTCTCCCCCCAACTCTGGACTACTAGGCCAGTTTCTGGGTAGGGGGAGAGGGAACTCATAACAGCAAAGAATGGCATTGGAGCATTCCTATGCCACATTTATTTTTCATAAAGTGCACAGAGCCATGCCCAACAGTCATGATTAAAAAGAATAATTAAAACAGTGCATGTAATAACACAACTCTTGTGCCCCCAGCCCACCCCCACATCAGCTATATGACAGAAAGGGTATAGAATCAGTCAAAATAGAACCGATACTATTCTTGTCTGGCATTGAGTTTATGGCCAGGGAGTACTTATACCCGGGATCCCCACCAAATGGTTTTAGAAAGTGGGCAGGGCCAGGCAGGGCTGATTGGCTGTGCAGATTAAAAAGCATCCTGTTAAACACAGCTTCTGCCTTAAATTGGAAGAATTACTGAGAGTTATAGGTAACCTTGCTCCTGGATATTTTGTCGTTAGCTCTGCATGCTGCAGCCACCATTCTTTTGGGATGCACACCATCCAGCGTCAGAATTCCAAAGGTGCCCTTAGGCTTAGAAAGGTTGGGGACCCCAGATTTACACTTTGCTGTTTGTTTAATTTTCAAGTCTTGAAAAGAACATGAGCTTTCTTCTGTATTTTTGGTACAGAGAATTTGGCTGTTGGTGTCTGCCAGATGGCCTCAAATGGTGAAGATGGTATTGCTTGGTACCAAAAAAAGGTCAGTTGCGGGGGCTTGTTTTACAGTGGAACAGTGTCATTCTTTGTGTTGCCTCCTTCAGGTTCTTCTTCTCTTCTTCTTGTACACCAGACATTGCCTTTACCAAGAGTTAATGGGAAGGTTTTAATTTTTGCCAGTCACACCTACATTAGTGACACCATCATTGCCTCAGCTTTACAGCCACATTATCCCCCCCCCCGGCTTAAAAAAAATGGGAAACGCTAGATTGCTATGGTGGTCGAAAATGCCATCAAATCACAGCTGACTTATGGTGACCCATTAAGGTTTTAAGGGCAAGAGATCTTCAGAGGTGGTTTAGCCATTGCCTGCTGCCACAGTACTACCCTAGTATTCCTTGGAGGTCTCCCATCCAATTGCTAGCTAAGGCCAACCCTGTTTAGCTTCCAAGATATGACGAGATGCGATAAGCCTGGGCTATCGAGGTCAGGGTGTTGTAAGAACAGTATAAAAGGACATTCTGCCTGCTATAGTGTATGTATGTGTGTGTGTGTATTTAAAAGAGAGAAAATGTGGTGTAGTGGTTAAGAGTAGCAGATTCTAATCTGGAGAACTGGGTTTGATTCCACCCCCTTCACATGTAGCCAGCTGGATGACGTTAGGTCAGTCACAGCTCTCAGTGCTTTCTCAACCCCTCCCCCCAAAAGTCTAGCTTGTCACCTAAAAGAGTTAGAACTTTAGGCTTCCAGACAATTTTTGAATGATCTGGTTATACCACACACAGTGCTATACAATAATTAATTATATTTATAAGAGGGAAAGTGGAGCCAGCAAATTTCACCTTATAACTCCACAGTGAAGAGGACTGTAGACATAATTTTTAAACAATGAAAGCTGTGGATTGTGGCAATAGGTTGTTGTAACACTGTATCACTCTAGCAAGGTTTCTGGTGGGGATGGAAAAATGGTGGTTGAAGGGGCTGAGCTGTCTATATACTCCAACTGGAAAACTGCTGTCTATATACTCCAAGAGCCATGCATAAAATTATCTATATGTAGAAGCAGTCCAGGAATTCTCAGTCTTGTTGCTGTTGCTGAATTATTGTAGGTGGTTTCTGTGCTTCAGTCTCACTTGATATAAGACTGGAGTGCTACACATACATTCCAGGTACAATGTGTGAAAATTATTTGTAATGCTGGCAGCACTGTGTAATTAAGTAAAACATTTTCATAAATATTCTTTGTCATGAATAATATCAAACTCCCTCTGAATCTTTCAAAGTTTCCTGTAATGTTTAAAAACAAAATTAAAATTATGACCTGGAGATTGTTTTCTTCCTACATTATTACTATATTGGAACATGTATTTTTTTTCCCGCCAAAGGATCTTAAAGTTTGAAATAGAATCCTTAGAAATAATTTGGAAAATGTATTGTTAATTCTTTGGTTTGTTAGAGGGAAGGAGGACATTAACAGTAGGTTGGCTGTCAAATTATTTTCTTTTTAATATGAAAACTGCTCTTTTTCAGATTGGAGCCTATGATCAACAGATATGGGAAAAGTCTATAGAACAGACTGAGATAAAGGTAAACTATCTTCTGCAGATAATAAGTTTTTATTTTTTTTGTTTATATATAGGTTTCTCAGAAGTTACATTTAACAAAAGGCCCTAAACATAAGCAGAAGGGGACAAACAAGAAAGAGATAAGGAAAAAAATAAGGCAATTGCATGCAGCAACAATCACTATATTATTGCCTAATTAGTGTTACTTTATAGTATGTAAGGTAAAGATAAAGGTTCCCTTGTTCGAAAGCCAGTCGAATCCGACTCTAGGGTTGCAGTGCTCATCTCTGTTTCAAAGCCAAAGAGCCAGCGCTGTCCGAAGACATTTCCGTGGTCATGTGGCCGGCATGACTAAACACTAAGGTGCATGGAACGCTGTTACCTTCTCACTATTTATCTGAATATGGTGGTTTTTTTAAAATAGAAATTGTTCCTGCATTCAGTATACAAAAGGGAGGTTTTTATTTTTCCATTTTTGAGTTTTTTATAATTTGGCAGCCACCAAAAGTAAGTTTGTAAGTTCTTGTCTAATTGGAGGAATGCATTTATCACCTACGTGTCCCCATAGGATTGTTGAAAGTGTTATAAAGACCTAATAAGAACTTGTGCAGCTTTGGCAGATTAGATGTAATTAACTGAGGCAGAGCGGTGTTAGCCATGAAGACAGTTAACATGGAAAAAGATTTTTAAGCTGCAGTTCTCCAACAGTAACTGTGGATGGGATATATTCTTAATGAAATAACCTGCTCTGGCAAATGAAATGATCACTTGTTTATTGAAATGATCACTTGTTTATTTGTGATCATATTAATACCTATGTTTAAGTAAGAGATTTCCCCCATTAACTAATTATTTATTTTTGGCATGACTGATTTTGTTTGTAAATGAATGCCTTGTGAAATAACCTTTGTGATAGAGAATATATGCAGATCATTGGCAAATTAGTTTAAATGAAGCAACCTCTTTGGAATTTAATTTTACAATCTTCTTACTACTTGGAGAAGTACTGACAAACTGTAAAACTTCAGTTGAAAAGCTGCCGGTCTGAAAAGGCTAAAATTAATGCATAAATAATCTTTCGTTCATTTCTCTGAGAAATCTTTTGTCTATGAAATCTATTTTAAAACACTGTTGACAAAGTTGTGTTCTTTGGACCAAAAAAATCTAAATTAATTTCTGTGAAGACCTGTATTGTTAGTCAATCTTTGTTTTGCAAATTAAGCACATTTGCTTTGTGGACTATTTTAAATATTTTATGAAATTTCAATCCTAGGAACTTCTATGTGGTTGGAATTTTGGAGAGGGGTACTGGATGACGAGGTAGAAGAGGACATTAGGTTTGCAAAGAGAGATGGGATCTAGGGTCTGTAGGGGTAGAAGAAATAGGAAGAAGTGCAAAAGTCCCATCTCATGACAACTGTAGCTCTCACCCAGGCCCTTGTGTTTATTATAATTATTATTAGTATTATGAGGAATGGTTGAAGGAACTGGGTATGTTTAGTCTGGAGAGGAGATGACTGAGAGGTGATATGATAACCGTCTTCAAGTATTTGAAGGGCTGTCATATAGAGGATGGTGCAGAGTTGTTTTCTGTTGCCCCAGAAGGCCAGACTAGAACCAATGGGTTGAAATTAAATCAAAAGGGTTTTTGGCTAAACATTATGAAGAACTTCCTGACAGTTAGAGCGGTTCCTCAGTGAAACAGGCTTTCTCGGGAGGTGGTGGGCTCTCCTTTGGAGGCTTTTAAACAGAGGCTAGATAGCCAGCTGACAACAGTGCTGATTCTGTGAACATTGGCAGATCATGGGAGGGAGGAAGGGTTGCCTCAGTGTTTAGTTCTTGTGGCCCTTTCTTACATGCCCAGGGAAATGCTGGTTGCCACTTTGGGGTCAGGAAGCAATTTTTCTCCAGGCTAGTTTGGTGGGATTCTGGAGGTTTCTTGTCATCTTCTGGCCATGGGACAGAGGTCACTGGTGGTGTGGGAGGGAGGCATTTGTGAATTTCCTGCATTGTGTAGGGGGTTGGACTAGATGACCCTGGATGTCCCTTCCTGCTCTGTGATTCTATGATTCTAGTAGTAGTCTACCTATCTCACTGAGTCTCAAGCTGGATTACTCAGAGTATATGGACCACATCACGGCAACCCCTCTCACGATACGGAGTTGCGTCGATTTCCTTGCCGTGGATTACACAGTGTATATGAATGCAATCAACCAGTAAGCAATATAATAGTATTAGAATTACAGTACTCTGAAACAAAACATATTAGGAATGATATGTTCAAAATGAAGAAAATTGATTTACACAAGTGTAAAAAAAGCAGCATGAGTAGGATAATACATATTGCAAACAGATAATACATACTATACACAGTGGTCACATTTCTTTTATAAAAGCAGCTTCCTGAACCATGTTGTTATAATGTAGCTCTTTCTGTTTTACATCGTTTACAGAATGACAGAAGCCTGGGAGCCTTCCTGACCTCCTCAGGCAGGCCATTCCACAAGGTGGGGGCCATAACAGAGAAGGCACCTGTATGGCCAGTTGTTGATCTTGCCCATTTGTAGGGTGGCACCTGCAGAAGGTCCTGCTCAGCCGAGTGAATAGATACTTAATACACTTTTTATTTTAATCAGCCAGAGATTCCACCATCATATCATGGAGAATTTTGCTGGTCTCTAAGTTGCTACTGGACTTGACTATTTAATACAAACTTCCTTTATCGTTTTAGGCTTCTGTTTGTGAAAGCATGTGGGCAAAGCCTGCTTTTTTGGAAGAAAATACTGGTGACAGTGTCCAACCTCAGTGCTACACTTATGTCCATAGATGCCTGAAATACACATAGTCCCAGGATGTGAATGAGTGATTTTAGGACAGTCTGTCTGTTAGCGAGAACAGAACAAGGCACATGCAAGTTGAAAGCCTATTATGTCCACAGAAACCATCCATTCTTTATGGTTTACCTTGCAGGGCTTCAAAAACAGACCCAAAAAGAAAGGTCACATACAGCTGGACCTAATAGATGTTGACTTGATCCGAGGTAAGTGCAGTTAGAACAACGACATTGGGGGAGGTGCTTAATTTGAGTTTAGTCTACTGACAGGCTGTTTTAGTTTAGTCTGCAAGTGGGAGTTCACAGGACTAAATGTTCCTTCATCCAATAAAAATAAATAAATGTTAAGGTTGAAACATTTTAATTTAGTTTTTCCCTTGACATATTAGTTTTCTATGCTGCTGAAAGCAGGTCTCTGGAGAGCTGGCATGCACATTTTTCTGAATAGTATGCATGGAGATTTTTGTTTAATGGAGGAACATGCAGTCACATGAACTTCTACCTGCAATCTGAAGTGGTAAAGTCCAGTTTTGCCTCCTCACCCTCTATATGTGAGAATTGGGCCTCTGTAGTGGGGAAAATATCCCCACATTCTGCCTAAAGTTGCACTTTAAAAGGAGTCTTGCCTTGAGTGGGAAACAGTAAGAGGAAATAGATTTCCATATAGAGTTCCATATTAACTGGCTGTGTTTGTCATGCATGTTTTCTAGGGTCTACGTTTGCCAAAGCTAAACCTGAAATTCCTTGGACTTCTCTTACAAGGAAAGGAATTGTGCGGGTTGTGTTCTTCCCATTTTTTAGCCATTGGTGGATACAAGTCACATCCCTGCGTATTTTTACGTGGCTCCTAGTGCTCTATTTGTTACAAGGTGAGTGGGGAAAAGAGGTTTTTGTTGGATTCCTTGAAGAGAAAAGCGTGGCACTTATTTTAGTGTTGTCCAACTTTTTGATGCACTCTAATCATCACTTGGTTACCAGCTCTAGAACTAGCTCCAGCGAGCTGTTCTACTGAGTCTTGCCTAGTTCTCATTACACTTCCTGTCCTACATGGTGGTCCATTTGCCATCATAAATTTCCATGAGGTCCTATCATCCTTAGTACATTTTTTTTGTTTTGTGGGGCCTTCCTTTTTGGCTAGCTGAAGAGCTGGTTATATTCAGCCCAAATTATAAGCAACATGCGAATGTCTTCTGTCATGACCTGGAAATCAGAACTCAATTGCTACATAAACCAACCTATCATTCATTGCTTTGCAGTTCATCTGTACTCTTACACCTTAAAAAAATTATTTGGGAGAAAGCATGTGCCTCTAGTTCATCTTCTGTGATGAAAAGTTGGTGAAAACTAATATGCTTGGTTTCCTGTCTCCTCTCTCAACCTTTCTTTCTAGTCACCTCTCATTGCTCTCTCACTGTTACTTTCATTTGTCTCTTCCATTATCATTTCCAGTCTTTACCTTCTCCATTTTCTTTCATTTTCCCATTTTCTATTAGGATAGACCCCTGATGCTTCCCCACTCCCAGGCAGATTTTCCTGCCAAAAATATTTTTAGTTCCCCTCAGTGACTGAGCCGCAGTAATGCGTATTTCTTCTTTATTTTATAAGCAGGAGCTGTCCTGTATTAAAATACCCACATGAAATGGCATATGAGACAAAATTAACTTTTAAAAACAATAAAGATTTTATTAAACAGGCAGGGAATATATATATATATAGTGAGTGTGTCAAGGTTTAGAGATACTCTAATTTATACAGACTTGAATTCTTAGAACATACAAGAGAGTATTGTGGCTTATTTTCAGAGTTTCAAGATCTTTTCAGTGAGAGGTGCTTTGGTTAGTATAGTTCAGCACTAACACAGGTTCTTAATACTATTTTCTGGAGAATAGCATATGCTTATAGTTTTTAGGTTTCTCCCTTCAGATATCTAGGTTTTCCCTTTAGATATTATAGCTTTCTTTCTTTTTTTAAGTACCTGAGGGTACACTTTTATTATTTTTTTTCATTATATACTACAGACATACATACAAACAACACCCAACTACCCCCAACAACATATAACAAGAGACTTTTATCACTTTTAAATTTCTAAATTCATTATCTATTTTACTAAGCTTATCTTTTCTGCGTTCTCAAATTACTACATTTATCTATCAGTTGTGTTTACATTATACCAATCATAGAATCTCTTCCAAGTTTTTTGAAAAGTCCATTCTGTGCCGGCTCTCATCTCAAGTGTCAGTTTGTCATTTTCCGCTGTTTCAAATAGTTTGTTCATGAACTCTTGTTTTGTGGGTTCTCCATTATTTTCCAATATTTGGCATATACTATCCTTGCAGCTGTCGACATATGAACTATCAAATACCTATCTGCTTTATCAAAGTCTTTCGGAAATATATTCAATAACAGTATCTCTGGAGTAAACGAGATATTAGTTCTTATTATTTTTTCCATTATCTCATGAATCCATCTCCAATACCTCTTTGTAACATCACATAGCCACCACATGTGATAAAAAGAGCCAATCTTATTTTTACATTTCCAGCATTTATCAGAGCAGTTAACATTTTGTTTAGCTAATCTATCTGGTGTAATATACCATCTATAAAACATCTTATACATGTTCTCTTTATATGACACAGCATTAGTTAGTTTTATATTCATCAGCTAAATCTGCTCCCACTCTTCTAAATTAATATTGTGGCCTATATTCTGGGCCAATACAATCATATTTTTTTTCAGTATTTCATCAACCATCACATCATCCAATAAAATCTTATATATTTTCTTTATCACTTTGTTTTCTGCTGTTAAAACAATTTCTTCCAGTTCAGTTAATTTATTATTAAACCCTTGTTTCTTATCCTTCAAATATATCGATTCCAGTTGCGCTTTCTTCCACCAGGATAATTGTTCTGGTAAATTAAGATTGTCTTTTTTATCCAAAATATCCTGGTATCTTAATGATTCTTCTCCCATATATACATTGGGTAAGGTAAATGCCTCTAAAGGTATAATTAGTCTTGATCTTTTAGTATAAACGTTTTGATGTATAGGGTCCCAAACCTTTAGTAATGCTGCTCTCAGCCAATGCTGCTTAAAATATTTTTGAGAGCCTGCTTTTTCATACCACAGGAAAGCATTCCATCCTAACAGTAAATCATGGCCCTCAATTTTTAAAAGTCTCTTATCTTCTAAAGTAATCCATTCTTTAATCCATACTAATGCTGCAGCTCTATAATACAGTAACCAATTCTTTTCTTTTTGTTTGTCGTCCAGGTTCTTAGTTATAATTTTAGTTTTTTCTACATTTATTTTGAAGCCCGCCGCTGCTCCATACTCTTCAATCTTATCCATCAAAGCTCCTGCTGCTTCTATTGGGTTTTCAAGTATTAATACCACATCATCTGCAAAAGCTAGTATTTTAAAGTGTTCTTTCTTTACTTGAAGTCCAGTTATTTTACTCTCTCTTCTGATGGCTTCATTCATAACTTCCAGTACCATAATAAACAAAAGTGGGGATAAAGGACATCCTTGCCTCGTACCTTTCTGGATCTCAAAATTATTTGAAAGTTCTCCATTGACCATAACTTTCGCTTTTTGTTCACTATATATTGCTTGAATCATAGTAATAAAGCTTTCTCCTGCATCTAACATGGGAAACGTCTCCAACATAAAAGTCCAGTTAACACTGTCAAATGCTTTCTCTGCATCCAAAAAGATTGTTGCCATCTGCTTCTCATGGTGTAGTTTATAGTATTCTAACACATTCATCAGTATTCTCAAATTATTCCTCATTTGTCTCTTAGGTAAAAATCCCGACTGGTCCTTATTTATTATTTCCACTAATACTTTTTTCAGCCTCTGCGCCAAAATTGATGCAAAAATCTTATAGTCCATGTTTAATAGTGATATCGGTCTATAGTTTTTCATTTCCTTCTCATCTAAGTTTTGTTTATGAATCAAAGAAATATTTGCTTCTTTCCACGTATCTGGGATTACGCCTTGTTCTCTCACCATATTATATATATCCTTAAAGGTCAGTGCAATCTACTCTTCAAAAATATGGTAAAATTCTATCGGGAGTCCATCTGGTCCCAGCGCTTTCCCTCTGTTTTAAGAACATAAGAACATAAGAGATGCCAATGTTGGATCAGGCCAAAGGCCCATCCAGTCCAACACTCTGTATCACACAGTGGCCAGAAATACCAGTGCCATCAGGAGGTCCACCAGTGGGGCCAGGACATTAGAAGCCATCTCACTGTTGACCCCCCTAAGCACCAAGATGACAGAGCATCACTTGCCCCAGAGTCCCTATCTATACCTTGTGGCTAATAGCCACTGATGGACCTCTGCTCCATATGCTTATCTAATTCCCTTTTGAAGCCGTCCATGCTTGTAGCCGCCACCACTTCCTGTGGCAGTGAATTCCAAGTGTTAATCACTCTTTGGGTGAAGAAGTACTTCCTTTTATCTGTTCTAATCTTTTGTCTCTTTATTGTCTCGACCACTTCCATCATTGAAATTTGTTGGTTTTATATTTTTCTTTGTCCTTCTGTAAGTTTTTGCAATTTATATTTTCCCAAATAACTTTTGATTTTATCCATACTGTCGTTTTCCTGTATAACGTTTTATAATATTCCTCCATAGCTTTTTTGATTTCTTCATTTCTATAGATTTTCTTCCCTTTTTTTCTCAGGACTTTAATAAAAGTTCTTTCCTTCTGTTGACTAATTTTATAGGCTACCCATCTAGTGGGTTTGTTAGCATTTTCAAAAAAGTTTTGTTTTGCAAAGTATAATTTCTTTGCTATCTCCTCTTTCAATAAACAATTCATCTGATGTTGTAACATTTTTAGTCTTTTTGCTCCATCATTATTTAATTTAGACATCATAATATTTTCTTGTAAATTTGTTTCCTTTGCCTATTTATTTGTTTCCTTTGCCTATTTATTTTTGCTGCTTCTTGCCTCTAGAAAATGCTTTCATTGCATCCCATATCACCTTTAATGATGTATCTTGTTTTTTACTTTCTTTGAAAAAGGCTGTTAACTCTTCCTTCATTTTATTTACAAAGTTATTATTTCTTAAGATTCTTAAGTTCATGGACCATCTGCTTCTCTTCCCAGTTGTTTGCAACTCCAAATAAACCAGTTTATGTGGTCTGCATAAGTTCCTGCCTGTATTTCTGCCTCTAACAGATCCTTAACCATTACTGTTGAAATCCATATCATATCTATTCGGGACCATGAATCATGTCTAGCCGAATAATATGTAAATTGTTTCATAGAGTAATTCCTTATTCTCCAAGCATCTACCAAATTTAATTCAGTCAGTAATTGTTCTAAGTTTTTTGGCATTTCTGTCCTTTTCTTCTTCTTCCCTCCTGTCTGTTTATCCTTTTCCTCATCAAAAATTGTATTAAAATCTCCCAGTAAACAAATATTTTGACAGTCCTGTCCAACAATAAGTTCATGGAGTTCCTTATAAAATTTCTCTTGGTCTTAATTTGGTGCATATTTACTACCAAAATCTTTTTCTCTTGATTTTGGATTTCCACCATCAAAATTCTCCCATCATCTGAAGCACAAACTTTTTCAGGGAATAGGCTTTCTTTTGCCACTCCCCTCTTCTTTTCCCTCTTGTCTGAAGCTATAAATGTTTTTCCTAATTTTTTATTTAGCAGATATTTTTCATCTTTTTCACGAATATGTGTTTCTTGTAAAGAAATTATATCCAATTTCTGTTTACCTAATTGGTGGAAAATCCTTCTTCTTTTTTGTGGTCCATTCAATCCGTTTACATTTACTGAGAGTATTCCAAGTTTCCCTTTATCCATTGTTCTTGCCATTCTGTTGGTGCCTTTTCAC